AGACGATGAGGTGGAAGAGAAGGAGACGACCTGCTTCTCTTGCTTCCTCCTCCTCCTCCTCCTCCTCCCTCCTCCTCTCCTCCTCCTCCTCCTCTCCTCCTGCTCCTGCTCCTGCTCCTCTCCTCTCCTCTCTCCTCTCCTGGCCTCTATTCTCTCATCTTGCTTTCCAGCGACAACGTCAAACTTCGTGTCCGTGACCTTGCAAAGCTCGTGGATGGCGCAGCAAATCAGCTTGTGAGCTACAAACGTTCTCCTCCTCCCTCTTCTTCGTCCTTTCGCATGCTTCCTCCCTCCTACCTCCTGTTGTCCTGTCCTGTCCTGTCCTGTCCTGTCCTGCTCTGTCCTGTCCTGTCCTGTCCTGTCCTGTCCTGTCCTGTCCTGTCCTGTCTTGTCCTTTCCTCTCCTCCTCGCTTCTCATTCTTGATCAGGTCAATCTCAACGAGACCACGGACGCGATCAACTCCAAACAGCTCGAAGAAACTTTCAGAGCCATCGAGACCAACATGAAGTTTCTTGTCGACGCCTCCGCCGCGAATGAAAGAGGTCGAAGGACTCACAAATTTCCCTCTTACATCCCAATTTCCTTTGCTCTGCTCTGCCCTGCCCTGCCCTGCCCTGCCCTACTCTGCTCTGCTCTGCCCTGCCCTGCCCTGCCCTGCTCTGCTCTGCTCTGCTCTGCTCTTCCCTGCTCTGCTCTGCCCTGCCCTGCCCTGCCCTGCTCTGCTCCTGCTCCTGCTCCTGCTCCTGCTCTGCTCTGCTCTGCTCTGCTCTGCTCTGCTCTGCTCTGCTCTGCTCTGCTCTTACCTCCTCACTGTTAACAAACAGCTCCTGTCCTCTCTATCTGCTCTTCCCATGAGCATCTGCTCTCTCCTGCTCCCCCTCCTCCTCAAGCTCCTCCAGCTCCTGCTCACCTCCGTCTCCTGCTCCTGCTACTCCGTCTCCGTCTCCTGCTCCTGCTCCTCCTGCTCCCCTCTCTCTTCCTCTTGTGCTCTTGTCTCATTTGGTCGTTCAGCCTCCGCCTCCCTCGCCATCATGCAAGTTGTGCTAGCGGGGTCGTTTGCCTTCGACATCATCGACCGGATCGGTGAGAGCCCGAGCTCGATCCTCCTGCTCCTGACGCTGAAGCAGGAGGAGCGACGTTAAACATCGGGCCTCCGCAATGGGTAAGGGGAATGAGATGAGGAGAGAAGGAGAAAAGCAGGGGAGAACGAGAGAGGAGAGGAGAGCAGAGCAGAGGAGGAGAAAATAGATGGGAGGGAGGGGACAGGACAGGACAGGACAGGACAGGACAGGACAGGACAGGACAGGACAGGACAGGACAGGATAGGACAGGACAGGACAGGACAGGACAGGACAGGACAGGAAGGGACAGAACTTGTCAGACAGAGAGGAGAGGGTCTCAGGCAAGTGATCGAGTTTGTCATGCTACTGTCTTGCAGGTCAACTCGTTGATAGTTGAGCCTCTCCTGCTCCCCCCGGGTGTCTGGCTAGCTGTAAACTTCGTCTGGATGGCTGTCCTGTGCTACTTCCTCGCTCGGCTGATGCAGTACCTCTCTCGCAAGACCTTGGTGCGTCCTCCTCCTGCTTCTCCTCCTCTTGCTCCTCTCACTCAACTCTTCTTATCTGCCCGTTTCTGCTCTGCCCCCAGCTCCTACTCCTTCGTCTTTTGCTTCTGCTTTTCCTCCTTTTCCTCCCCTGCTGTCTCCACCCACTTTCCTTTCCTCGTATCTCCTTCTCCTGTTGCCCTCACGTTCTCCTTCTCTTCCGCGTCCTCCCCGCGTCCTCCTCCTCCCTCACGCGCTCTCACGTGTCTGACTGAGAGCCAGGGGCTAATGACAGTTCGCTGTATCCTGAACAAGAAGATCAAGTCCGAGGATGGGCTGCTGAGTGAGCAGAGGGGAGGAGTTGATATGGGGGAGAGGGAGAGGGAAGGGAAGGTCGTGGTGGCAAGGGAAAGAAGGTAGGATGAGGAGTGGAGGATAGGAGGGAAGGGCAGTGAAAGGAAGAGAGGATCGAAAGGGCAAATAACGGACAAAGGAGGAGGAGGAGGAGGAGAGGGAGAGGGAAGAAGTTGAAGCAGGGGATGAGGAAATCGTGGAATTTGAAACGCGGAGGCGAGGGATGAGAGAGAAGGGAGAAGGAAGAGAGGAGAAGGGAAAGGGAGGGGAGAAGGGAAAGGGAAGAGAGGAGAAGGGAAAGGGAAGAGAGGAGAAGGGAAAGGGAAGTGAGGAGAAGGGAGAAGGACAAGTGATAAGGAGGGAGAAGGAAGAGAGGAGAAGCAGAACGAAAAGACTACAGACAACCCCATCCACGGACGGTCGAACACAAAAGAGCAATTGGTTTGATCTTGCTATCG